ACATGAAAAGAGAGACTAATGTATATATCAATACAGGGAAAACTGATGCAGATATTAATTAGTACGAAGCACAAGTGCACATGACGAGATGTATATTTGAATAACGGCGTGACACGCTCCAGTGGAGATCGTTAGAGACAGGTTTGTGTGACGTCATTGGCGCTTGCTGCAGTGTGCGGTGGGGTGGACGGATGTTCCAGCCATTGAATGGTTCTGGGCAGGGGTCGGGGGTCAAGGGTGAGGGGTAGCGGGGGTCAAGGGTGAGGGGTAGCGGGGGTCAAGGGTGAGGGGTAGCGGGGGTCAAGGGTGAGGGGTAGCGGGGGTCAAGGGTGAGGGGTAGCGGGGGTCAAGGGTGAGGGGTAGCGGGGGTCAAGGGTGAGGGGTAGCGGGGGTCAAGGGTGAGGGGTAGCGGGGGTCAAGGGTGAGGGGTTGCGGGGCTGTGGGGTATGAAATATTGCCGGTTTTATTGAAGGAGTGTGGACGTTTATGTCGGTCGATGAAGTAAGGGGTTGTCGGAAGTTTGGGAGTTGGTTGCGGTTGGTGATTTATTGGTTAGTCAAGTAGATCTGGGTGTTTGGGTAGCAGTTTCCGGAAGTTGAGACAGCAGTCCGGTATGCGGAAAGCTCTATGTATCGTAAACTGTTTTATGTATAGTTAGTTGTCGTTAACTGTTCTAGTTATTGTGAGCTGTTTAAATTATCGTAAACTATTTTAAGGGTTGTTCGATAGATTGATTTGTCTTTTTTCGTCATGTCTAGTAAAGTGAGGATATATATATATATATATATATATATATATATATATATATATATATATATATATATATATATATATATATATATATAATATTGTGGTAACTTATGTTTGTTTAATGCGTATTGCCGCCCGAGACAGACGTAGAGCATGCCTGTGTACTGTAGGCCGACATACGGGCGAGACGTCCTAAAGGCCGCAGCTTTGGTGCTGATCCATATTCATAAGGGAAGCGACTCGCCCAATCAACGTGGAGACAACTCATTGCTTCTGTCATGCTCCTGGTCCCGGCGTCGCTTCCTGTGGGGGTGCGGGAGGGGGGGGGGGACATGGCGAGTCTGGCTCCAATAAAGAATACGGTGGGGTGATGGCTGGTCAGTTTCGGCTTTAGAATAAACAAAGAGATATCTTATAGGTGTTATATTTCTGTTGGTGTTTGATAACCCATGTCTTCTATAAAACTACCGTGCACAAATGTGTTAGCGGTGCGTTGTATAATGTGTTCATTAGGTTTTGAAAGGCAAACAATGAGAGTGGGTACAGTTACCTTGGTTTGGTTAAGATATGGAAATCATAACTAATGGGAAGTGAGAAGCAGTTTCTAGACGGCGAATGATTTTATACAACAACTGTAGGTTTGTGTTCTTTACAGATTGTATAAAATAGTATAAATCTTCCGTGCAGTTTAGTATTATAAGCGCATTTGATTCTTATGTTTTCTTTTCTCAAAATTAAAATATGAAATGTGACGCTAGAAAGGATTTATCCAGATATCTTCATCACGTGATTTCTAGTCTATTACTGCTGAACACTTAAGGTTATCTGAATGTTGTACGATGATAGATCTATGGCATTTACAATATAATAACTGCATAAATGCTTCATATATACTTTATATTTTGTTCTTGAAATATTATATATATATATATATATATATATATATATATATATATATATATATATATATATATATATATATATACATAATTATTTTTAAAAAATTGTATACACTAGAGTTGCACTTTCAAATCTTGATTGAAATACATGGAGGAAAATTCCAATGTTCAAAAAGAATAATTGTATACCTTCCCCATTAGTAATTAGACACATTGTTAGACACATTAGTAATGTGTCTAACTTTATGCTCCCCGTGAGAATTGTGCTATACTCCTGTTTCATATCAGACTAACCACTAAAAAAACAACCTTCAAGGCCGCCTAAAACTGTGGCTGTTGTTTAGCCTTGACTCGCCTTGTTTAGTAAAACCAGAACATTGACACGATTTGAATAATTGATTGTGTATATTTAAATTCCTGACCCGACGGCTAATTAAATAACTGACCCGAAAGCCAATTAAGTAAACTATCTTCAAGATAATTGTAAAGCCTTGTTGTTAAAGACGTCAACCTTTAAAGAATTTCTTTCTTCTCCTTTTGAAGTTGTTGAAAGGTCACTGAATTTGTTTTTGCAAATGGAAACACTTTACATTGACAGACATTCTTCACAAACTGTTTGTCCATTAGTTACAGACGATGTGAGTTGTAGTGTTTACATTGTTATCGTATTTATCACGTGAGTGCAAGGCTAGTCTTCCCCCACCCCTAGAACTAAAATAACACGCCACCCCCCCCCCAATTTTATGGTGTTTTTCTGTCAGAATCGCTGTCTGTCACCCATTGTGTCATGTCAGGTCAAGAGCTGACCGCCCTATGTCAAGACGGGTTGTCTGGTCACTGACCTGGTCATAATGTCAGGATTGTGAAACAAGTGTGTTGACGTCATTAGAAACGGACCGACACGGTCAGGATTGTGAATCTTGCTTGTTGACGTCATGAAAGACGTCTGATAACTGACCAGGTCACAGTGTCAGGATTGTGAACTATACTTGTTATGTCAAACCAGAACTGACTACGATTCCACTCGTTGTGTCTGTTGTTCATAACGTTAACACCTCTCTGTTTGAAGGCTTGTGCCACATACAACAATCGCAGTTTAAATTCATGCAGTGTTTGTTTACAAAACTGTTGGATAACATTTTAATTATGGTGGGGTTAATAGTATTGAAATGACAAACTATGACGGGCCTTTGATTCAACATCAGTATGTGTGAATTCTTTTCAAGGTTTTTTTTTTTCTTTTGTCTTTTTTTGGGGGGAGGGAGGGGGGGCATGCAATTTTTTACTATAATATGAAACAATCTTTTGGTCTATACAGCTATAAAAAGATGCCCGCCAGTGGTTCGGGAGGGTTGACTGCGACCCAATGTTTCGTTCGTTATAACTCGACTACAACTTCTAAATCCCCCTTCACCCTATCTCTAGCAGTCATCAACAAACGGTAAGCGGTGAGTCGTTACTATTCTCACTCCTGCAACACCATCATCTGCCCAGACGTCACCGTTTAGCCAGTCTAGTATGTTGACCTCTGTTCTAGACTATACGACCTATTCACCTTTTTCTTCGGATCTTTACATTTTGACCTAAGCCTCAACCTGTGTGGTACTCTATAGGACTACGCCGATCTGTAATTCTAAACGGCTGTCCCTCTTATTCTTTGTCTGTCTTCATACACTGCCCTCGCTAACCTTCATTTCCCTTGTTATATTTATCTACCTCATCATCCACCCACCCCCTGACCATCCACCCCACATCTTACCATCCACTCCACCCCTCACCATCCACCCTACCCCCTCACAATCCACCCCACACCTTACCATCTACCTCACCATCCACCCACCCCCTCACCATCCACCTAACCCCCTCACCATCCACCCCACACCTTACCATCTACCCCACCATCCACCCACCCCCTCACCACCCTACCCCCTTACCATCCACCCCACGCCGTCCCCCCAGTCCCCAGCGCCCAAGCACCATCAACAGTTTTAATAATGTACGAACCCACCTCTAGACGGCTCTCTGTGATCAGCATCTTAACCCCTTCCCCACCCTCCCAGCCACTCGACCCCACCCTCCCAGCCACTCGACCCCACCCTCCCCAGCCACTCGACCCCACCCTCCCAGCCACTCGACCCCACCCTCCCCAGCCACTCGACCCCACCCTCCCAGCCACTCGACCCCACCCTCCCAGCCACTCGACCCCACCCTCCCAGCCACTCGACCCCACCCTCCCAGCCACTCGACCCCACCCTCCCCAGCCACTCGACCCCACCCTCCCCAGCCACTCGACCCCACCCTCCCAGCCACTCGACCCCACCCTCCCCAGCCACTCGACCCCACCCTCCTCAATCACTCGACCCCACCCTCCCCAGCCACTCGACCCCCACCCTCCCCAGCCACTCGACCCCACCCTCCCAGCCACTCGACCCCCACCCTCCCATGTCACGTGACAGGATCAAGTTCCCCGAGGGTGGGATCTTACACTTATTGATTTTAGATTAACCTTGATTAATGATGTCCCACATTAACCACCCAGCTACTTACGAGCTCACCCCCCCCCCCCCCCCCCCACCCACCCAACCACTCTTACCAATCAATTTGACTCCAGTCACAGGCTAGCCTAATCAGAAGTTCATTCATAAACCTTATAGCTGTAGTAGTGGTTGGAACATTTCAAACGGGTTTGGTTAGTACATGGTGCATAATCCTTACTGCTTTGTATTTCTCGTCTTTGTGGTAGAGGAATAGGGTTTTACTAGGCCGCATTACTAGTCCTACTATTAATACGGCGGTATAAAACTCGTGCGTGAGTTTCTTTAGTCACCCCCCACCCCCGGGAGAAAGAAGTCTGAAAGAAACACTGCATATAATATTTCACTCGAATCGGCATCCGAGCTTGAGACTTTCAAATAACCAGTCGTATGCAAACATATTTTTTACATTATCATTTAGCAGACACTGTACCGTAAAAATAAACTATTAAGTAGTAATTTGCATTAGTTACTTCCCATTTACAAATGCAATCAAACTACGGGAGACAACCCAAAATCTGTTCCCCGACGGTTTTAAAAAGCAAATTAATTCAATAGTATTTAAAAAAATAATAATTTTAATTTTATATTCAAACATATATATTGAAAACCTTGTATCATTTTTCATCCATTAATCATATATCATATTTTTACAATTTATTTTTTAACCTAATTAACACAGAAAAATGTTAGGTGTTTGACATTCTTTATAGTTAACCCGTAAAAAAATTATTTGATCAGCATTCGATTAGCAGTGCCCAAAATAAAGTATCACTATTACTATTTTAACCTGGGAATGGAAGCAGGCAGTGTGAGAAGATGGTTAAAATATAATATTCAAAAAGCTTGACGTCATTTTGATGCTAAAAAGAATATTAAATTTCATACAATCTAAGCCAATTTTCATAAAAATGTCAGAAGTATTGGTTGGACCAGTTTCAGTGAAGAAAAGAAAAGGAGAGGAAGGAAATGACATCTCAGCTGAAGTGAAGTCCAAGAAAAAAAAGAAAGCTCATGTGGTTCAGTTAGGCAAATGTGAGGGCTGCAAAAGAAAAATAGCAATGCTTGTTGCTTACAATGGAAATGGCTATTATGGTGTACAGATCAATCCTGGCTTTCCAACCATTGAAAGTGAATTTTTCCCTGCCCTGGTGAAAATTGGTGCAGTACCCCAGGACCATGCAGACACACCCTCCAAGATGTGGTTCCAGAGAGGGTCTAGAACAGATAAAGGAGTCTCTGCAGCTGGGCAAATCTTCTCAATGAAGGTTACTTTGGTTCCTGATCTTATAACAAGACTAAATGAAGCTCTGCCACCTCAGATCAGAGCCATAGGATATGTTCGTACAACAAATGGCTTTGATTCTAAAAAGTATTGTGACAGCCGAACATACATGTATATCAGGGTTCTCCAAACTTTTCAGTCCGAGGGCCGCATTAACTATCAAATTTCAGTTCGGGGGACAGTTTCTTCCAGGCATGTCTTTGATTTTTCTGGGCAAAGTTCCTCAGCCATAACAAACAAATTATTTTTCCTTGGACAAAAAGATCTCCGCGGGCCGGATGAGAGGACTTAGCGGGCCGCATTCGGCCCGCGGGCCGTAGTTTGGAGACCCCTGATGTATATGATGCCAACATTTGCTTTTGCTCCACTGGAGAAGTTTATCACAGAGGATTACAGAACAACACCTGAAATTCTGCAAAGAGTACAAGAAATCCTAACAAGATTTAAGGGAACCCACAAATTTCATAACTTCACATCAGGAGTGAAATATGAACAAGCATGTGCTTCAAGATACATCATTAAATTTGAGTGTTCAGAACCATATGTCAGAGATGGCCTTGAGTTTGTCACATTGCGTGTCAAAGGTCAAAGTTTTATGTTACATCACATTCGTAAGATGATAGGCTTAACAATTGCAATACTTCGGGGATACTGTGGAGAGTCTGTTATTGATTCAAGCTGGGGCCCTGAAAAAGTTGATATACCAAAAGCACCAGGACTTGGTTTGGTGCTGGAACAACTTCACTTTAATGGATATAACCAAAAGTTTGGTAGTGATGGAGTACATGAACTTATTGATTGGTCCAGCTATGAGGATGTTGTGGAGAAGTTTAAAGAAGAACAGATAATTGCATCTATAGTTGAGAAGGAAAAATCTGAAAAAGTAATGTTTAACTGGTTAAGAACATTACAATTTCATAATTTTGATATGCCAAGGCTTGAAAGTCCAGAGAAACCATGGGCACATATAACCAAAAACAGTAAAGCTGGAAATTCGGTAACCTACTTTTTTTTTTATAGTTTTATCAACTTTAAATTGAACAACATGATTAACATAATGAAAATAAATGGGGATGATTTTGGTTTCATTAAAAAAAAAGTTTAATACTATTTACATTTCTTCAGAGCCCGGTCAAAACATCACCTTCACCAATCTGCCATGTGGATTCAGAAGCCAAAACTGAAGTTAGTCCATCTGAAACTGCTGGAATAAATGAGTCTGAAGTGACAGATGCAGCAGCCACTGATGATGTCCAAAAAGAAGTTTTAGGAAGTTTTATCCCAGATACTGTATCAGAAACACTTGAAGAGAGGAGAGTTGTTTCTGAAAAACTTTGATGAAGCTGAGCCATAGTTACTGGATCTATTAATATTATGTATTAATTAATAAATAAGTATCCCAGAAAAAAAAAAAATTACTAATTACTTACTAGCCATCGGTACCCGTTTCACGTGAATTATAAGCCTATAATATATTTTAAAATGTACTTGTTTGAGAAAAATAATTTATGAAATAGTTATTGGTCAAAACGCAAGGTGCTTTACTACACGCTGAACGATATTAGTGACAAAGCAAAAATAATAACTACTTAGCTAAAAATCCGGCACATTTAACATAACACAGGCACACACTGATTAAGTGACTTAAATGATTCCGTTAAAAATCTGGCTATTCAATAGTCATTACGTTCTTTTTTAAGTAATTTGCATTAGTTTGACCGATCAAATTGTATATATTTCATAGCGTACGTCTTGATCAGCAGATCTATAGATCTAGATCTAAATCAAATTTGAATGAAGTAGTTCCTTTCTTTATAGTCTAAAATCGGAAGCTTCACATATATAAAAAAAATAAAAAATTAAGTTTGACTTGGTGTGTCTCGTGGTATTAAGTACACAATCATCTCAACTATTTATGCACCTTATAAAACACGGAGAATGAAATACGTATCTTGGAAAAACTTAACTCACGTGAATATGCCTATTCTTTCAAATTAATTTTTGTAACCCAAATTAGCCAGTTCCATAGCTAAATAAAGATTTCTATGAAACAAATAAGGCCTGAAATAGTTTAAAAGATAATTTCATTTTTGGAATAGATTCTAGAGTAGATAGAGTCTAAATCTAGATCTTAGCGACTTAGCGTCTACGTCTAGTTTTTTGCGTAGATTTAGATCTAGTGTAGAATCTAGATCTAGATCTAGAATCTCCAGATCTAGATCTAGAATCCAAATAGATAAAATAAATTTTATAAGTTTAGGCCGAAAAAATTGTATTGTATAAATTTCATAGCGTACGTAGATCTAAATCAAATTTGAATGAAATAGTTCATTTCTTTTTATTCTAAACACGGAAGATGACGTCATTAACTATTGTATAAACATTAGTGACGTCACTGTTTTATGCGTTCTTTTTCACAACTATAAACGCTTTTCCTGTTGCATAATTAAAACTGTTTTTCTACATTCGAATATGCCTTTATTTTTTTTATTTTTCTTCTCTAAATAAAATTGTGGTTATACATTTAAAACATCTACCATAATATTTTCAACAAAAGTCCGTATCAAGTTCTCCATATATTGCTGAAGATTCTGACTTGATATCCGGCGAAAATATGTTGCGGACAGAGAGAGAGAGAGAAGTGCGCACATGGGCTTTTATATATTAGGATTAGCTTTCACACACACAGTCCTTGCTGAATTACCAAATACTATACAACAAAACGTACATCACCCATGTGTTGGTGAGCTTATATATATATATATATATATATATATATATATATATATATATATATATATATATATATATATATATATATATAAAATGTATATATATGTATATGTATATATATATGTATACGTATATGTATATATATGTATATATATATATATATATATATATGTATGTATATATATATGTATATATATATGTATATATGTATATTCATATATAAGTACTACGTAGTGTGTTCACCTGTGTATGGCACCTTACCTGCTGACGTCACATGTCATGTTGCCACACATCGCCAGTCTGCCTACCTGTTGCACCAAACGGCACTGACCACATCTCCCGGCACTGACCTCATCACCCGGCACGAACCCCAGACACGCTCGTCAGTTACGGCACGATGTGATTGGGTGCAGGTCACGTGTCTAGCACCAATGCTCTGCTGCATGTCACGCCAGAGACGGGGTCAGAGGTCAGTCTTTTGTTTGCCCGAGTGCTTGGTGTGACGTCCCGCCGTTTACAGCGTGTGTCAGGATAGACGTTTGTGGGTCATCCCTGGCACTGGCTGGAGCCATGTCTAGCTGGCTGGAGCCATGTCTGGCTGGCTTGCTAGCCGGCTGGAGCCAGTCTAGCTGGCTGGCTGGAGCCATGTCTAGCTGGCTGGGGCCATGTCTGGCTGGCTGGAGCCATGTCTAGCTGGCTGGCTGGAGCCATGTCTAGCTGGCTGGCTGGAGCCATGTCTAGCTGGCTGGAGCCGTGTCTAGCTGGCTGGAGCCATGTCTGGCTGGCTGGAGCCATGTCCAGCTGGCTGGCTGGGGCCGTGTCTAGCTAGCTGGCTGGAGCCATGTCTAGCTAGCTGGCTGGAGCCATGTCTAGCTGGCTGGTTTTCAGCAGAGCGCTGTGTAAGTTGTTCTTGTGCTATAAGCAAGGTGCAACCATATGGTCGAAATAAACACATCTGTTTACACTGGAACCGTGGCTGATGGTTTGAAATGGTAGTCCTGCGGTAGGACTATCAACACGGTCCTGCTCTAGGACCAGTAAAGTTGTCCTCCTATAGGACTAATCATGCGGTCCTTCTTTATATTCGTCAAGCACTGGTGTATCAAAGAGTTCCTGACTGGCGACCTTACATGAGGCAGAAACGCGTAGATATAAGAACACAATCTTAAACACAGCTTAAAATATACTAACGAATGTTTGTGCTTTAAGGAATCCCCTTTACAACCCCCTCCCTCGTTAAAACATAATACTCCACTCAGCTCTCTGTGGTACTATTTATCTTCTCATGGCATTAACCTATCCATCATCGTATCCATTGATCCACAGGAACTTTTGGCTGGCTAAATATCTAGTTTTGTCACAATATTTGATGGATCTACAGACAGGAACTTTTGGTTTATTGGATCTACAGTATAGACTGGCGTTGACTTATGTACTGACCAATATTCAAAAAGTCCTGGTTCCTGGGCCATCTGTACCGCCTGCTGCCCAATTGATCTTTAGTCCAGGACTATTGAACTGCCGTCAGAACCATCATAGGCACATAACTGTCTGCATAGACTGTAGCTCCAAACGGTCGTTAGCTAAAACTATGTACCGACTGGTTTACAAATGAACGATTCTGTCTCGTTGTATTTATTGCTCATATGATATTCTAGTTAGGTTAATCCCACACAGTTTATTGGCTAATCTCCTTTGATGTAGTGCATTTACTCATGTTGTGGGTGGGGGAATTGGTTACATTAAGCCCCAACCTTTGCCGCTGTTTATATTTTACTTTCTGTGTTCTGTTATATCTAAAATGTATCTATCCATGCTCGAATTCCCTAGCATTTGTAGGTTATGTAATTTTTTACATATATATATTGTGACCTACTTAGGTCCAGTAATGTTTTATTTTGACATTGTGTTAATACTATATATGGATTGATGGTGCAACCACCGGGGTTTTTCCACTGTCTTACTGAGAGTGTCTAAGACGTGGAAATTTTCCATCAAGATCTGATTGATTAATTCAGACCAGATGACCACACCAACCAATGGCCACATGAGTTGAGGGTAACCTCCCCTGTTGCCTAAGTCTTTAACTAGATCGCCCACAGGCGACACGCGGCAGTCCACCTTGATCAAGCGGTCCATTATGACCAGGCCGTCCATTTTGTCCGGCAATAGATTCTGACCATTTGAACGTGAGAGATCTTAAGTCCTGAGTGTGCTATGCATTCCTAAGTGGTTAAAGTGTTCTAATATTATATTACTTGTCGCCAAGTGATTTTGATGCTATAGCAGTGTTGTGTGACCTGTGGCTATTTTTATACAGTGTTAGAATCTGTGATAGTATTTTTTCTTACGCTTTGTAAGTTGGGTTTTGTTATTTTCTAAACTAAATATTTTATATTGTTTAACCTTGTGATCTGCCACAACTGTTCGCTTATTAAAGGTTGTATGCAGATTGAATGAGTTGTTAACTTCAATAGTTTCACTAGTTTTCCCTAGACATCGAGATCGAGCCCTAGTGTGTTGTTGAGTTAATGTCCATTCATTTAGGCTTTAAGTCATTTGCATATAACCCCAAAAAAGAATCCGGGGGCGTTCACCATCTATCTGGCTGGTAGATAGGTGTCCGTTACAATATATATATATATATATATATATATATATATATATATATATATATATATATATATATATATATATGTATATATATGTATGTATATGTATATTTCAGATAGAGCTAACGCAATTATTCTGTGTCCAAGTATTCAATGATCACCCATCTTTTGTATGGCCTAGTATTAGACACTCGGGTCGTATAGCAAATTACTGCATTCACTTGGCCAGACAGATTGTGGAGGCTTTTTTTTTTCAATTCTCGGCCAAGACGATTCTTGTAATTCCCAGCATGTTGTGAGAGTGAAGGAAATATTACATGTGTTACTGGGGCGTATGGTCAGATTCAATTACCGGTGAAACTTTAGAAAAGACGATTTTTGGCTTTTTTTTTTCTCGCGACGAGGAAGTTCCAAAATTCTCGAGGCCCCCGGGTCTAGTTCATTAAAATTCCAATTTGGCGGAAAACTTTTTGCAGATTCCCGGAGATGCTTTGTGGGGGCCGGGCCGAATGGAGGGTAGGGTCAGGGACGGGTTAAAAGAGGGTGTGGTCGCGGGCGGGTCAATATTGGGGTGAGTTAATTAGGGGTTAAAGGATATGGTGGAAGGGGTACACAACTGACACTATGGGGATCTGGGGGTGGAACATCCATTGAAGCTGTTACCACTCTTAGTCTGGAATATCCTCGTAAAAAATCTGGTTACTGCCGGAAAATCTTCAATTCCCACATTTGACGGTGAACGGGGGGAAAAAGTCACAGAAAAAAATAAACAGTTTTGCCAGGGAAAAAGGAAAAAGTCACAGAAATAAAGTCACAGACTTTAAATCTTGGTTAAACTACGGTCGGATGATAGAGCTAATGCCTGCTAACCCGAAAGTCTCGAGTTCAAATCCGAAACAGATGAACTCTACTTCACTTGCCCCATGAACTGTCAGGTTTGAAAGGGAACTAAACGCAAAAGATAGAGATTAAATTAAACAAACAAAAAAAACGTGCCATTGCTCACTAATGAAACCTTAAGACAGTGAC